TGATACATTTCGAGGACATCTTCCATGTGACCAACCCCAACACTACGGTTACGCCTTGAGGGACTGGGACCTAGTTGGGGACGTGATACAAACGTTGATGATATACTACCCAGAGAGGTCCTTAAGAGGGGTGGTGATGGGGAGACCATGGGGCAAGAAAAAGAGATTGGTTGGGATGAAGCCTATGAGCAAATGGAAATAGACAAAAGATACGAGGAGATGGACAATTTGAATCTAATTCGGGAGAGTATTCTATCATGAGAGGGACCAAACAATACACAACCTATCCCCACACCAGCTCAACAAGAGGAGCCTACAATTGCGCTCTCGCCCATGTAAGCGGACAAAGAGTAGCTCAAATATCGTACAATTTGAGTTGCCAAAGTGGGATTAGAAGTTTAGGTCAAGAGGTAGGGGGCCAATAGTAATTTTTAGATTTTTGTTTTTTTGTTTTTTTTTGGTTTGGTGATGTAAATGTCTATCTTGTGGACGTTGAAATGCTTCCTGTAATTGGAGCAGTTAATCTGAAATTTTGATATGAATTTTTTTGTTTCTGTCCAGTGGATGTTGATATCAGATTATTTTTTTCATGCTTGCCATTTTGTGCTTGGCTATCTTATGCATGGGGCTAGAGAAGGCTCCCAAAAGAGAGAGAATACTCAATGCTCTGGACCTTGTGATGTTGTTATGATTGACCATTTTGGTTTAACTTTGGTTTGCCTTCCACTGGTTTTGATGGGCACAGTACTTAGAGCTCATCATGAGCTTAGCCCTACATTGTGATCACAGGCTTTGGATCAAACAATACCAACCCAGCCAATGAACATCCAAGTTTATATTTTTTTACCCCAAAACATAAAATGCATAATTCAAATCGATTTAACATAGGGTAGAAGTAACAAGTACAATTTAGGTGCCTTCAAATAATATGCCACAAATTTTATTTTCCTTTTTTTATTATTCATTTCTTTTTGTTTAAAAGGAACATCACGGTCCTCATAGAACCGTGATGCCCTAAACAACTTGTGGGAGGTATGGTTCTAACTAGGCCGTGATGCTTATTGGCTTCCTAGAATTTTGGAAGCTAAAGAGTGTCACGATTATGTTAGGGCTGTAATGTCCCGTAGTTAATAGCCCTGGTTCCTAGGTCATAATGTGTTAAGTTTGACAAGTGAACCTTGAGTTGCTCAAATGATTCGGTTCGCAAAAAAAATGTAACCTTCACATCCCCACTATCATAGAAAAGTTGCATATTATTTGAGTTTCTCTTGAAACAACCATTAAAGAAAAAATCGATTTTCACTCTTTCATCACCCATTATTGATGCACCCATTATTGATGCTTGTAAGCTCAACCACTTTTGAGATATTTAAATGCGTAGAGGAATTGAAATATTTGAGATCAAATAACACATTACAGGAGGCAATAACGAAAAAAAGATTTGTAGAAATCATTACATTGTGACTAGAAAGCATTACATGGACATTATATTGCGATACAAATACCATATTGTAAATACAGATTCAACACTTATTACTACGATGTTAGAAACGAGAACCACATGTATTAAGAATTTTCGAATAAGCCATACACTTCATCCAAAGAAATTTTGATTCTTTTTATACGTTAACGGTGGGCATGGAGGGTGGGACATTGTGTTGAAGAGTCCAACCCCCTAACAGCAAATGCCCCAACTCCATTCCCAAAACTAAGAGAAAAAGTAGACAACATTTCTTACAAAACATGGCCATCGCACATCAATGGGAGGAAGAAAACATTTCAGAGATTAAAATTCAATAAGTAGGACATATTATTTATGGTGTGGTTTGTATAGAGCTGAGGCTTAGCTCTAACCAATCAAAATAAAGCGCACTTTCAAATAGAATCGAGAAATGTGGTTTCAATACTGGACATCTTTGTGATAGCCTTAAAATATATTTTCATCTCTAATTATAAAATTTAAAGCTTAAAAAATAGTGAAAATCACGCATATCAATAAAAACTTGAAAATCTTGAAAATTGACAGTCCAAAATACGTTATAAGATGCATTATTTTCAAAACTTGTAATCCATTTTTTTTCTCATGTCCATGCATCTTGACGTCGAGATGATCAATTTGAGGTTATTTGATCATCAAAACAACCTCTTTTAGTGAAATTTTTGATGTGGGCTCTAATTTGATTGTTTAGAGCTTCGACTGGCTCTATATAAACTTTTTCCATTATTTATTCTTATTTATCTTCTGTGCACTTATGTAATGCTTTTCGTGCATGTGTTTTCGGGAAAGTAGTATAAATTACATGGTGCACAACACTCTTCATAAATGCGGGTAATACGCCTACACTTTGCATATGAATGGTGCACATTCAGTGATTTGTGCTGCGGGCACATTGCACAAGACTGAGTAGTAAATGCACTTATGTAGTACTTTGTCAGCATGCGTTTTGGGGGAAGCTTAAAATAGACGTGTAGTTATCCTTGGAAACAGTCACAAGGGGTTAGAGCAAGTGCGCCGGAAGGTACTGGGACTGTGACTTTTCATCAATGAAGCAGTCCAGTGACGTGCCGCACATCATAAGAACAGACATTTAAGAAACGCATTGTGCTTCGCTGATCTCTATGGCCTTAGACAGCTTCCGTACTTTCCTTCTTATCTTTTCCTGGTCTCTGGAAGCCAGAAATAGTTTCTGGGGTGTAATTCAAAACTGTTTTTGGACTGATTTTTCTACTATTTCAAGATCGATATGCCCCATGGTGGGGGCCAAATTTTTTACATCCAAATTCAAGAAGATCTCAATGAAACCTTCTCTTATTTAAATTTTTCAATAAATTAGATAAATTTTGTAGAAAGAGTGGCTCTGTCAAATTACAATATATGGGAATATCAATCTACAGGAACTACTTCTCATACATCATCTACAGAGCCGGCTTGAAATTGGCTAAAACCAAGGAAGAAACCAATCAAACTAAAAAGAAGCAGAACAGATAAAATATATTGAAAATTAAATAAAAGAAATGCTTAATTGGAAGCTGGTCCCTTGGCCGGCACCTAGAGTTGGTGGCCCAAAGTAGACTAGCAGTTGCTCTCACCCTCAACCCTAGAGATTTTATTTGAATTTGAAAAGTACCTAGGGCATGTTCTTCCTAAGATCTTGATTTATTAAGAAGATTTTGTTTGAATTTGAGAAGTAGCTAGAACATGTTCTTCCTAGGATTTTGATTGCTTAGGGCATGTACACAAATAGTAGGCCCCAGATCAAAGCATTCGGAATCGGTAGAAGACTTTGTGGTTATAACAATAGGGGATATGGCTTCAGTGTCCGGATCAAAGCATTCGGAATCGGAAGAAGACTTTGTAGTTGTAACAATAGGGATTTAGGCTTTTTTTGCCTTCCCTCTCCTACTTGCCAGAAAGGATACTTCTTTAGAAGACCGTTCTTCTTGGAGTTAAGTCTTGTTATCTAAAAGGCATAAGAAGAGGGTTTGTTTAGGCTTCAAATGACTCCTAGATCTATTAGGAATAAGTGTCTTAGAGTCTATCTCTAAGTTTGACTTTTGACACCAGAGTTCAAAATTCTTGGCCTACTTGGACCTTCAAAGATTTTTGGAGGAAGCGTTTGTAGAAGAAAAGACTTACCAGGCTGGACTGGCCTTCTTAGAAATCTAGGCCCCAAAAGTGGCAGTGATGCGAACCGCATTGCTAATCTGGATCTATCCCAAATTTGGTTGGGTGATGCTAAGCATCGTGGCTAGCCCAATGGTGATGATCTAGTTTTCTCTAAGGCTATTTCTAGGTGTCGATATGGGTTTTTCTTCCTTTCTCGAGCCTATCTTACTGTTCTGGATAAGTGTGACTAAATTAGGATAGGTTCATATGAACTTGATGCGCTAGGGTTCAAGGTTGCAGGTTTATGTGAAATCCAGGGGGCTGTGAAAAGAATAGGACAAAGCAAAAAAATCAAACCTAACAAAAATTTTGGAAAGAGATTTTATATGCAAATTATTCTTACGAAGGGTAAAAACTCTTATAATGTTATTAGCTTTTTGGGATCTAAAATTTTAGATATTGAAAATCTGAACCAGTATGATTCTGAAATAATAGATTATAATTTTTTTCTTTATATTAAAAAAAAAGGTTTTAATATAACTACAATGCCCTTAATCTTGAATCTGGGTAGCGCCACTGGCGCCACCATTGATTGACGTCCATCTACAAGATGATATTGAGTATGTCAAGGGACACTATTGTAGAACCGCGGCCCCCAGACGCACCAAATATAATATTGATGGCAAGTCAAGCCAAGCCGAGTTCAATGTGTTCAATTTTTGAGTTACGCCTGAATTCAGCTCAAGCAAGATCTCCAAGCCCAAGCCCGTTTAGATTCTTTCAATCATATTTACTAATCCCTAAGATCAATTAATAAATATTAATTTGGAGCTAAAAAACGGTATCCCCCTCAAATATTGGAGTTTAGACTCATTCATTTGAGGGACAATAAGATCTAGGGTTTTAAGTGCTAGTCATTCTTTTTGCCTTCTTCTTTTATATGAACCATATTCACAAAGATGAGTGCACAATGATCCGATAGTTATTAGATAAAAAGGGCCACCCCAGTGAAGTGTCTTGGCTCAAGATCAATTGCTTGGGCTGCTCAGACCACCTTATTAATGCATGAGTATGGGACTTAAATATTTTTCTCCCAATTTAATGGTACAAAGGGAAATAGATTTCTGTATTTTCATTTAAAGAATCTCCTTTAATAAATGCTGCATAAATAAGTATTCATCCTATGCAAGAAAATAATAGCCATATAAAGTAATGCATAGGAAAGAGAAGTAATGCATAGGAAAGAGGTTAAGGTCGTGGTGGTAGCATCCCCACACCTAATCATGATATTATGGTATCCATTCCTACCACTGATGTTACTCTACTAACACTTTTAAAAATGTAACTCCTATTCTATCGAAAAACATGAGTAGTCTTCCTCACTGAATTACCCAAAAAAATATAAAGCCATGCATTCATCTATGTGAAAAAAATGCACCAACATGTGTAGGGTTGGTGCCTACATTGAGCAAGTGAGTTTGAAGGGAATCTTCCTTTTGTGTGCGCATGGAAGGTGGGGAAGAGAAAATCTCTCTCTGCCCTAGTTTGAAGTATTTACAATTGTTCCTCTTCTATTATCACCATACATTGCATGTGCCATGAATCTATATTTTATCCTCATATTGTGCTCTCTCAACTTTTGTCTTGAACACCAAAATGAATAATTTTTCCATTGAAAAGTAAAGAAAACAGCCTGCAGAGTGTGTCACATATGATCCGAAGCTTGTCCCCACTATACAGTGCCAGGCAGGCCCATACGCTTTGTCAAACTCCTGCAATAAACAAAACCCCACAATCATAATAATTTCATCTATTTGTTACCATTTGTAAAGATTATTATTGCAAATAAGCTAGTTCTCATGTAAAACTCGTTTTGCACACAAACGAGTTCTCTAAACAAAAGCCTGGGAAACATATCCATTGTAATTGTTTTAGGGTTTGTATACTGTGACACTATTTATTATTATTACTAGGAGGTACCATCACTTATAGTTATTAGATATCCAATGGGATGGCATGGAGTGCGTTACGAAATTCGGGACTTTTGAGTCTGGTGAATAAGGTAGTTCTCATGCAAAACTCGTTTTGCACATACACGAGTTGGTTCTCTAAACAAAATCCTGGGAAACATATCCATTGTAATTATTTTAGGGTTTGTAAACTATGATACTATTTACCATTGTTACTAGGAGGTTGAAATCGCTCATAACCATTAAATGTCAAATTAGATGGCTTAAGTGTGTTACAAAATTAAAGACTTTGACTCTAATCAACGCACGCTTACACTTACAATTTAAAATCTTACTGATATTAATGCTCGTGACCACCTTGTAGTAAAAATAAATGGTATGTTGATGTACTTTTTGATTGTTTTATAATTTATATGTTAGGGAAAAGTGAAACATTGATTGTAAGGTTTGAGTCTTCCAAAACAAAAACCAAACTATTCTCATTTGTTGGGTGACTAGAATATGATGGATGGACATGTTATAAAGACAAACATGTATTTGTCTATTGGACAAAAATGTATTTGTCTATTGATGATGTGGGGCTATGCTTTTTATTTATTGAGAGAACCTTAGAAGAGCGATGTGTCAACCTTTAGGGACTCCACCACAATAGTTTTCAGTGAACAATGTGAGGCTAGGGTGAGTGCACATGTTTGGCAGTGCCGAGAAATCATAACCACATAAAAAAATTTTGGGCACTTCATTGGAGCATTAAAATTTGGGACTTCAAATTATCTTGTCAATATATTTTACATGTAATAAGGAATAAAGTCATATTCTATGCTACTTGTGATGGCTGAAATCTAGGGAAAAATGTCATCAAAATTGGCAAACAACCTCAATAGATAATTATGGCTGTCAACGAATTTTTCATGGAAGTGGTTACTTAAAGATAATGATTTCATTCAAGTACGTCTCTAACTTTTGTTAACAATTACCAGAAATGCCCATATTATGGGTTTGGAAGTAAACAAGACTGGTGGTGTGCATTTGTAATTTGGTCCTACTGCCCCCCTAAATAAAAAAACAAAGAAGGAAACAAAGACAGCCATAGAAAAATTGCCAGAGTTTAATTGGTTAGCGCTTGCGGATTTACAATCCCCATTGACTCACCCAAAAAAAAAATAAAAAAAAAAAAGAAAAAGAAAGAAATGGCAGCCCTAGTCAAAATGATGCAACATCGCTGCTTTCTTTCAGGTCCAAAGCAAGTGCATTTTGCTATTAAAATCTAAATATGGTTATGGAATCGAAAGGCAACAATACTTTGTAATTAAGCCCCCACATAAACTTACCTTGGCCAGATGATCTAAATAACCTTGTTTATTTCCAGGGTGTGGTTTCCATGAAGTTGCAACCTTAAACAATCCAATTAAGGTGCACCTTCAAATTTTATCATAAAAATATAATTTTGATATAAAATGTTTTTAGGATTATCTCATAATCTTGTTTTATATTTATAAAATTTTAAATTCCAAAAATAGTTAAAATCAAGTAGATATATAAACATATGAAAATCTTGAAAATGGATGGTGTAGATAATATGTTGTAAGATGCACTATTTCTGAGACTCAAAAAATATTTTTATTTTTCATAGTCATACATCTCGATGTAGAGATGATCAATCACAAGATTTTTCAACATTAAAATAGCCTTTTCCGATGAGTTTTTGAAGTGCATCTGTAGTTCTACGGTTGCAATCTTATATAAACTTTTTCCTTATTTTCAATACTAATCTTAGAACGCATCTTTTTAATAAAAAAATCCCTTGTTAAAAGTATGGAATCCAAGAAACAAGCAGGGGCAGTTTGATAAATCGGTTTTTTATATGCTAAATTACCGAAACAACCTCAATCCCTTAGGAATTAAAACCCAAAAGGAGCCCCTTGGGTAATTTTGAAATTGTGGAGCTACTGGAATGAAATACTGTTATTGAACTATATATAATCTTAGCGAAGTAACCATTTTGCTGATAAATTGGCCAATTTGGCAGTCTTTGTACTTTTTTAGATGTTTTTACCATTTTAATAATATTTCCCAAATTTTTTTGGATTTAAAACATTTAAGTATTCTACACCTCTGTCTATGAAAAACTCAGAAAATTAAGTGACTAAAGATGGAAAAGGGGACCAAAATAAGAACAAATATATTGAATATTTACTACAAGTGCATATATGTTAATTATACTGGATAATATCTCAGAGAAAGAGAGAGATGATAAAATATATGAGAAAAAAATGAAGCATGACAAATCAAAGGGATTACTGGTGCATAATAAGACATACACACATACACAAAGAAGTTCTCAATTCTCACCTTCTTCATGTTATAGGCCATGTGCTTGGGGTTAAACTTCTCTAGGCTATCGTAGGTGCTCCTTGCACAGCGAAAGGCATGGACTTGCATGAACGCCGGCATGTCGGCGACCCGGACCTTTGCCCCAACAAAAGCAGCCACTGAAGCCACATTCATGTCCACCTCTGATACTGACTTCCGACTCTCCACTACCACTATTCTCTCCCTATTCTTTATGTTCGGATTTTCAAATGATTTCATCTTTCCCAAACTCTTCAAGGCCGGTTTAGCCTTCTCTTCTTCAGTATTGTTCTTTGGAACACTGACGGCCACTCCAACATTCATGGATGTGTTCATGGCTTTAACATGGTCCCTGGGGTGATCTATGGAAGTGTTAATAGCCTGTACATGGTGCTTCGGTTGATCGAACATAGACCTCACATCGTCCTTCGATTGCTTTTGGCCTCCTTTGTTACTGTATTCCGGCGCCCCAATGATGAAATTCAAGAGCGTCCTAGATCCTCTTCTTCTTCTTGTGGAACCATCCATCTCTCTCTCTCTCTCTGTCTGTTCTGCCTAAGGTAAAAGGAATGTGAGCTGTGTTAATGGAGGTCTAAAGGTTCTTGTGGATTTGAAAGGAATAGCAAGGTAGGCGTGCAATAAGAGGGGATGGTGGGTGAGGGGAATAGTTTAGTAGGCAAAGCATGTGTTAGTGCCTTAAACCAAGGGAATCAATATGGTGGATGGTTTGGGGCGGATTAGATGCATTTTTGTAATCTTCTTCAAGCAAATGGCATGTATAGTGGAGCTACTTTTTGAGATGTGAAATTATGTTCAAATAAAGAGGGGACTTTATCTATTAATAAGGGGGGGCATAGGGGAGAACGTCTTTTTATCTTCAAAAGGATTTGATGAAAGTCCCAATCCAATGAGAATGGTAGGTCCATCTGTCTGCCTTGAATCAAACCTACAAGATCTTGATATTTGATAGCTATTGCTTAAATGAGCTGTTGTGTTTTATATTTTTTTGGGGGTTATTCTTTTGGTTCTCTTTTATTCTGGTTAAATACGTTGTCCTCGGAAATATCTTATCTTGGTTAAACACTCTAGGCTTCACATGTCACATCTTGCTTTTATCATGTGAGGTTAATCCATTGAGTTCTTTTAAATTGATAAGCTACGACTTTGGCATTAAAATATCACCATACATGCTTTTTTGATAATCAATTAAAATATTTTCTTTACATTAGTTCTAGGTTAGTCTTAAATAATCACATTGTATTAACTTAACTAACATGGCATCAACTAGATGCTCTCTTTTCCCATTGCCAAGTCAAAGCAGGCCCTGAAGAGTTTAAATCACTAGAAAGTATATTATAGTATTAGGAAACATGGGTGAATTTTTTTTACGCATTTACAATGAAAACTGCCTATACTATGCTTCTGTGAGAGCAGGTTGTGCATGTACTCCCTCACTCAAAACACCGATTGGTAATCTGAACCGTCTCTATCTCGCTCTACTTGCCCAAAAAGCCTCTCTCTGAGAAACGAAATCTCTCTCTCTCCCGAACGTTTTTAGATAGAGTGAGAGAAGGTGGCCAGCAATCAGGGTAGGGACAGACTGTTAGCCGCAGTTGCAGCATACTTGAGTTTCTCACTAAAGGTTAGTTATAATTAGTAATCAGAATGGTTGAACATGGAGAGAGAAACAAAGGCCAAGGCCACCTGTAATTTCACAACCTTCTTTCCATTGATCTCATCCCCATTTACTCTGGTTTAAGGCCACCTGGAATCCACAAAAGAGCTCGCCTCCATGGACAAGCTCCGTCACTTGCAGGTTCGGAACAGATTGGCCATGATCAGGAAAGCAAAGCTCCTTCATCCCCTATTTGAAGATCTCAAAGAAACCCTGGCCCCACTGCCCCCTTCTTCATTTCTATGTTTCAGAGATCATCTTTACACAATTCGAAAGGCAAAAAGCCTCATAAACGAATATAAATCAGGCAGCGGAGTGGGGAAGATATATAGAGAATGAGAGAGAGGGCAGGTAGAGAGAATGGGAGAGCGAGAGGGAAAAAATGGAGAGAATGAGAGAGAGGGCAGGTAGAGAGAAAAAGGGAGAAAAAGAGGAAGGGTGGGTAGAGAATGCAAGAGAGACAGGGAGAAACATAGAGAGAGAGAAAGAGAAGGCAAGTAAAGAGAATGGGAAAGACAGGACGGGTAGAGAGAGAATGGGAAAGACAGGATGGGTAGAGAGGTAGAGAGAGCAAAATAATAGGACAAATAAATATTTGAAAAGAGGAAGAGAGAAAAATAACATTTTTGTCCTGAAGTTTACTTACCATTTGATTGGAAGTAAATATAAAAAAAAATAATCTTGAGGTTTAAGGTATACTACAAAAAATATTGGGGATAGGATATGTAGAAAGTTGAATTTGGGGGGTAACTATAATTTTCCTAATAATCTTTTCAATGGTGCCTGGGATTACTTGACCTTAGACAAAATGGTTGGGCCACGCAACCAATATTTAATAGTGATACCTTTTTTCCTCTTTGGAAGGTTGAGAGTGAACACCAACTTTCATACATGTTAGAGGGGTCAGGATACCCGGAGCTATCATAACCACGTAAAATTGATTTAGATCTTGAGGACCAAAATGAAAATAACAAGTTGCTAGTGGCTTTATTTTTTAATTAGCTATTACGTTGCCTATTTATTTGGTAGGTTTCGAAGTTTTTTTTTTTTTGGGTAATTCAGTTGGAAAGACAAGCCCGTACCCGTTTTTTTAAGTAGATTAGGAGTTAGATATTTGAAGGTGTTAGTGGGGTGGTGTTAGGGGTAGGAATGAAAACTACAATGTGGTGACTAGGTGTGGGGGTAGGGGTGCTACCACTGCGACCTTGGATGCTCCGAAATGTGAATGTCATAAGAAGGGGGATTGATGTTTTGAAAGACAATATAATTTAAAACATGCTCAGACTCCAATTAACCAGAGGACATCACACTCATGACCAAATTTGCCCATGCATTCTATGTTATTGGAACACAGGCATATACTGGGAACGAAATAGTTCCAAGAGTTTAATCCCCTATTACGATTTACATTGACCAAATATTACAATAAAAGAAAATAAGACCAATTACCCTTGATTATAGCCTCAAGACGTATACATTCGTTTCTAATAAAGCAAGACGTATAGACATATTAAATAAGAGGAGATAACAATATTGACCTATATACCTGATCTATAGCAGGGATGCTAATCCTATGTCTTTGTCCATTTTTAGAGAACGGGTCTCAAGTGAGTATTTTAGAGCACATAATCAATTTCTTTCTCTTTCTCTCTCTTTCCTCAGTCAATCTCTGTATTACAATGAATACTTGATCAACCTATGAGTGAGTGTCTATCTCAAGGAAAAATATAATCTGCTCAGTGAGTGTCTATCTTTGTCATATGCTCGTCTGGCTTTTATAATCCTTTTTAGAAGATAAACTTCAATTTCTCTTTGATAACCACAAAATATCATCATCTACATCTCCATCGTTGATCCCATGATGATGCTTATCCTCTTCCTGATCTTCACGTTGAATCATCACTTCATCTTTATCCTTTATACGAACTTGAATCTGTGAGCAGATCTTTTAGTTTAAATGAGCAGATCTCGTGGATTTGAATTCAAACTCAAATCTTCAGTCAAATTAAATTCTTGGGCAAATCTCTTGAATCCATTCCCCATCACACGTGAACTTGAATTTGTGCTTATCTTGTGTGGTCAATCATTAACCATACATGGATTTGAATTCACGCTTATCTCATAAGGCCAACCATCTCTGTTCGACTTTTGAATGTGTAGGGAGTCAGTCATGCCGTCTGGTGAGAAAAACTAAGGCAGTGTCCCCTTTCATTACTCGTTGGTTCACTTTTTTGCTTGTCCAACTGAATATACGGTTTATTCAATTGTATAAAACATTTCCACAACTTTTAAGGGTGATAAGATATGGAACCAAGGATCCAATGGTCTTGATTTCTTGAAAACTGTATTACATTTCAGTAGCTGAATATTATTATCTGGAACAGACGAGACATGGGCTTTGAAGGCTCCAACCGTCGAGCTATATGGTAAACGAGCTATCTAACTTCCAACTAATACAAAAGTTCAAGGAGAGGGTCACAATTCCTTGATCACGATTTCCTGAGAGCCTCAATTCTATCCTAAAGGCATCGAGCTTCGAGATGTTAGTTAGGGCATATCCAAACAGACAGTGGATATGTACATGGGTTACACCAGATCCAAATATCGGCCAAGTCATACAACCCTTGGACTTTAAGGCCTATAAGGCATTAATACACACACACACACACACACACACACACACACACACACACATTAGGAATTCACCTCAATATATCATGTCAAGGTTTCCCTTTAGCTCCATCAGTTAGAACCTCATTATTTTAATATACGATGGATTTTTTAAATAGTCATATCACATCTCATCTAGAACCTCCCCACTATCTAGAGAAGAGACATTTATATGCTAGGGAATATATGCATTATGGAATTCTGTCTTAAATAGAAATATTTTCATGATCTCTTATCATAGATCGTAAGTTACAGCGCATATGCATAACCAACAGCGAATGCCAATATTAAGCCGTATCTATTCCTCCATATATCACATGGATAAGCATATATAAAGCCTTAGGAGTATATGTATTCTAGAACTCGTCTCAAAATTAGATGGCTTCGTCATTTTATGTCAACCTTGAATATGTTTAGCTGAAGGGCTCTTGGCATTGTGAGTTAAAACCTTTAAGGACTAACTGATGAGTCAAGACTCCTTTAGGCATACCAATCCTCTTACATGATGGATCTTGATCATATCATATATCATATATCGCATGAGGTATTTTATCTTCACTAAGCCTCGTATGAAGCTTAGCAGACATATCATTATCAAAATACATCTGGTCCTTGTATGTGATTAAAAGCACACCCAACAAAACCGCCCTAAGTGTTAGCGTGCGTGGGGAAAGTCCTTAGAGCACGCAAGGATTAGTGATTTGGGTGGCCTTGTTGTCATTGCTTCTTCTTGTGGATGACTTAAAATTCTCTTGAACATTCTCCTTGTCTAAAAAATCCCTACATTTATCAAAACGAAGATAACCATTTGAATCTTCAATTCTCAGTGTACTCGATATCATTTCTTCACGTTCTCTAGGAACAACCTTTCGGATCCCTCACGAAAAGCCTAAAAATTTGGAATAGAAAGAGGGCATCATGGCATCTCCTAAGTCCCCTCGTCACTTGGAGACCGTCTTAATCTTTATCTCATTGCCCTAATTTTGGGCAGTGAAGAACATTTTGTTAACATTCCTCCCTGGTTACTGCTCATGGGGAGAGTAGCCGCAAGTGTCCTGCAACCTCAAAGTCCATGAGCATCTCCTCTGAAGATGAGGAAGATGTCTCTGAGGCAGCATTGGAGGCAGGTTTGATAAAAGACCCTAAGTCTCAGGAGATTGCTCATCTTCGTGAGGTGGTGTCTCGGCTTTGCCGGGAGGTGGAGCATTACTGGAGCACGTTGGACTTCTATCAAAGAGAAGCCGAGCATGTGAAGGAGGCCTTGAGCTCGGTGAAGAGAAAGCTCACCAGTCACTAATTCGCTTTAGGAATTGGCCTTGACTTGAGAAAAATTAGTTGGTTTCTTTTTCCCCCCTTTTGTTATTCTTGTTTTTTTTTTTTTGAACAAAATATAAGGGCTTAGTTCCATAAACTTCCATCAATGAAGCTTTTATTTTATATGACTGTATTCACATTTTACGTCTTCGATTTTTTATTTTGCATTTTACATCATCTTGCATTCATCAAACATATATTATCAGTTCACATTTTAAATTTCAAACACCACTCTGGTATCCCTATATTTTTGAGAAATATCGAGGGTAGCTGAATAAAGATCCCTAGGCCACAACGTCTTTCATTGTTTCAGGGCAGTTTGGTAAAATTGCGAGAGTCCATCATTATCCCGCCATGTTTTCAGCACAAACCGAGGTATAAGGTGCCCAACAGTCGCATTTTCCCCATCCGTTCTTCCTTTCATCTTCTTTAGCCCCTTTTGCTTATCACCATCTCTTGGAAACCCTTTTTCCTTCTGATATTAGGCCCTTTTGGTATTCAAGTGAACTCTTCAAGAGAGCTCCATTTCCAAAAGAGACCTCTGCCACACCTTTCTTCAGGTTTTTTGAGCAGGAGTT